CTTTATTTCCGGAAGGTATAAGGCACCTTCAAGTAGGAGTCATGTACTATGTATTTCATATATATATATTAGGATAATTAGGTCCTAAATGCCCACAAGTGGGGACAGAAAAAATACGTATGGTAGAGCACAGGGGTCAGCAAACCATGGCCCATGACCTGTCTTGTAAATAGTCTTACTGGAACACAGCCATGCAACCTGTTTGCATACTGTCTATATATGGTACCATACAGCTGGGACAAAGACCGTATGGCTCAGAAAGCGTAATTACTATCTGACCCTTGAAAGTTTGCAGACCCCTGGTATAGCATATCCTGAAACACACTGCAGCTATTTAAAAATAAAGTCAACGTCAACCATACGTATGAACAGGGAAAGATGTCCAGATCCTCTGACTGCCTACTGAAGTGAGCGGGCCCCATTTGTTTGTTTGGGTTGTATTCCACAAGGGCAGGAATTCCAGCACCGGGGAAGAATGCAAACCTGGGAGGGAACACTGGACTCTGGGCACCAATGTCTGACTGGGGTAGCCCCTGCACTGTGTGTGGCCAGTCCGGCTCCAGTCCAGCCTGGTGGTCCACCCAAGACTCCTCCCCCTGCAAGATTCATCCAGGGATCCCCTGAGGCCAAGGACTAGTGAGGGCTGAGGAGGAAACATCCCTTCTTCCCAGCCGGTTCTGAAAACAATGAAGAGGAAAAGAGTAAGGATGGAAGTTCACATATAACCATGGCATTGGGGCATTTTACTTACGCTGAACCCCAGAATCTAGCAGACATCCCCACTGAGGATCAGCTGTGCCAGGCTCCTTGACTGAAATGGAGGCAACATCCCCATGAACCCCATCCCCACGTTAAGACAGCACGGTACGTCCTGGACACAAACACACCCAAGCTGTGGGGCCTGGTCCCTCTGAGGGCAGGGAGAGCGGGAATTTTCACTCTAACACACACTAGGCGTAGCATCTTAGGCAATTTCTTCCTCTTTTAATTTATAACACAGGAGAACTATGAGGCTTAAATAAAACACTGCACACCAAGGCCTCAGCACAGTGCCTCACATCCAGCAATGCTAATATTTAATAAATGTTATTTGTTTTATGGTTCATAGTCCAGTTTTTATAATAGGTACATATTTGCTTCTGTGATATAGAACACCTGCTGACTTCCTCGCAGTGGTCCTGAATGTTCACTGACAGGCATGAGAACGCTATGAAAAGTGTAAATCCTGAGCCAAGATCTAAAAAGTACTAATTAGTACACACTATATATAAAAAACCATTCTTAGAGGGAAGTCGATAGCCTAAAATATTTTTATAAAAAAAAAAAAGGTAAAGACTCTTAATTCAAAATGGCCAACTGAGCCCAAAAATTCATCTCCCATTCCTCCCAAACCCCATTAAAATGACAGAAAAGCAGCAGAATAAAAGAGTTAAACACCCACCAGAAAGAGAATGGATAAGGGACATGTCTGCTAAGAGATTCAAACACATTCTGGAAAACTGCAGAGGGCGGTCTGCTAAGGCAGGCCCCACTCTCTCCTGTACTTAATGACTGAACTTCCGTTCCATAAAAATCACAGGCTGACAGCGCCCCGACTGCCCCTCCTACTCCCGATTCCCTGGTCCCTAGGAAGTGAGGCCAAGAAGGGGAGAAGCAGCATCACCTGGGGCCTCTGCCCGACATGTGTCTCAGCGCCTCGGCCCTTGCGCTGGTGGGGGCTCAGGGCTGATGCACAGGGCGTCCACCCCCATTCCTGCCCAACAATCTCCTTTCCAGATTGGACATCAGAACCAAAAAATGTGACGTGGTCTGCTCCAGCTCAGTGCAGCTGCAGGTGAAGCCCAGCTGAGACCCAGGCCAGCCCCACACTCCCCCGTACTCCCCACCCAAAGCCACCCACCGCCAGCTAAACCCGATGGTATCGGAACATAATAAACATACGACTTCTTGCCCTTTTACAGGTGCTGAGTCAGAAGGGAAGTAGGACACCGAGCCAAAGGCCACACACGGAGCCCCTCACAGCCCCCTCTCTCCTTACCGTGCAGTGCCTTCCTCCTACTTCTTCCTGCAGGACTGTGGTCTGTTTTGAGAATATCAGAGGCACTGTGAGGATGGCACATCCACTTCACTTACAGCTCCGGAATCCGCAGAGCCCGCCCTGCCCACCACAGATACCCTTCAATGTCTGAGAGCAACCACCACTCCATCCCACAATCAAAGAAAGCAAAAGGAGTAGGATTCAGTATACAATTGTTTAATAGAAACCATTTGGTGACTGTAAATGATTCTGTACAAAATAAACCTTCATTTAAAACTGTTTAAGAAGTCACACCCACCATAGGAGGCGACCGAATGCATTTAGTTACCTAAAAGGTGTTTGCAAACGGTTTAGAATCTCAGCAGAGGCCTGCAGAATCTTTAGCTCTTCTGTCCACAATGTTTCTACCAAAGTTAGTTGGTTTATCAAAGCCACTTCATCTTTCATATGAGAAACCTGGAAGATATTTTAAAGTTAATTTTTTTTACTGCAGTAAAATACATATAACATAAAATTTACCACTGTGACCACTTTTCCGTGTACAGTTAGATGGCATTAAATACGCTCACAGTGTTATGTAACCGTCACCACTATGCGTCCCCAGGATTCCTTCATGGTCTCTAACAGAAACTCTGCACCCATTACACAAACTACCCATTCCCCCAACCCCCAGCCCCTGGTAACCTCTACTCTACTTTCTGTCTCTATGAGTTTGCCTATGCTGGACAATGGAATCACACAATATTTGTCTTTTTGTATTCTGATTTCACTTAGCATAATGTCTTGAAGGTTCATTAAAATTATTTTTCAATCCCAATAATGTTTTCATTAAAATGAGCTGATTTCTCGGGGCACCTGGGTGGCTCAGTTGGTTAAACATCTGCCTGCCTTCGGCTCAGGTCATGATCCCTGGGGCCCCACATTGTGTTGGGCTCCCTGCTCGGCAGGGAGTCTGCTTCTCCCTCTACCCCTCCCCCTGCTCATTGTCTCTCTCTCTCTCTCTCTATCTCAAATAAATAAATCTTTTTTAAAAAATGAGCTGATTTCCCATTTAATTAAAACATTTACTAAATAGAAATATTTAAAAAAGAGTACTCAAAAATTCATCCAATAATTTTACCTACTGAAGATACAAGCACAACGTTAACAAAAACCCAGAAATTACATCAACATTCATCTATTTAAGGCATCAAACAATGCCCTAATAAGGTGTAACATGTACAAACAAGTAACTTCTTCATCAAAATACTTTAACAAAAGAATGCAATATTCTAGAAACATACCTTTCGCAGCATAGCATTGGTCTCCTCTATGAAATACTGGCATATTTTCTGGGCTATGACCAAACTTCTCTTCTCATTTGTATCTGAAATGATTTCCCCAAGAAGTATTTTTTTCCAGCATGTACTAGAACCAAATTGTTCAGTAAGATAATGTCAGCAGGCTCTCAAAAAAGTAAAGGCGACTTTTTACACTTCAACACAACAAACTCTTCTATTTTTCCAGAAGCATAATAAACTCACTCCATTAGCAGATTCCCTAAAACCTTCCCACCACATGCAGCTCCCGCATTGAAGGAGACAAGGTACAGGAGGAGGAGGAACAACTGAGAATAAGAATCAAGGGGACTGACACTCTTTGCAGGGAGGGACTGAATGTGATTATCATTGCAATCCTGTGTCTGGCACATAAGTAAGTGGAGTCATGTCCACCAGTCATGGGAACAGAGCAGAAGACAGAACAGGACAGTGACTCCCAGCCAAAAGGACTCAGGGCTAAGGAGCAAAGACAGTAAACTTTCCTTCTCTTCAAGTGACACTCTTTCCTAAACTATGGCAAACAACAGAACACGTTTCACAAGGTAAAATGCTCTGGAGACGGAAGGAGGAATCTACAGTGAAGCCCTTCTCTGCAGGTCATTCCCATTTTACACTATGAAAATATGCAGGAAATGGGGCTCAGGGGACAAGGGGAGCCAACTTTCTGCAGGCAGAGGAGCAGAAACATTTCAGGGTAAGCAAGGGGGAGCCACAGCAAGGCGCTGAGCCAGAAGGCGGCAGAGCCAAATCCACACACTCCCAAGAAGCACTAAGCAGAGAGGAAGAAGATGGAGGAATAGATTCTGGATGCCGAGAATCCAAAGTGCAATGGCTTAGGAAGGGAAAGGTAAGGTGACAACTGCCACATCAGAGTGGAAGTATACAGAAGTCACTCAGAAATTCAGAACAGCTGACAAGCCACACATGGAATAAAGTCTTAAAAGTCTTCAGCTTTAGAGACAACAATGGAAACCTCAGGAATGGCTAAGTTCTCAGGAAAGAAAAGAAGGAAGGAAAGAAATCACTATATGCCAGGCATAGTGTTTCATGGAAAACAATTACCTAATTTAATCTTCACAATTATCTAGCAAAGAAAGCATTTAGTATTCCCATGTTAACCACAAACAGAATCGGGAACGGTACAGAACTCACCCTAGGTGACAAAGCTAAGGAGAGGTACAAATAGCATGCAAACAACATCTGGCAGAATCGCCACCACGAGCCTGTTCTACCACACCGTGGCAGACCGTTAGGAGTAACTCAAAGGCAGGAAAAGGGGCCTCGGGGTGACTTCTCATACCTTTTTCCACAAAGGACTTAAAGACACTTACGTGGGCACACGCGAGATGAAATAAACAGTAAGATGAACGGACAGTGAAAACAAGACAAAGGAAAGGTGAAAGGAGGAAGGGTAAGATACAACCAGGATAAATTGCATGCCTTAAAATCCTGCATATTTGGATGGGCCACAAATTTGCCACTGAGTTTTCTAGCAAACAATAAAGAGAAGGAAATGTATCAGATACAGAATCCACAGTGGCTATAAGATAAAAACACACCATCTGCTGAGAATAAACACTACTATTTCTGGTGTTGAGATGAGGGAGAAATTTTTTTCCCTGAGTCCCTACAGAAAAAGAGGTCAGCAATATCCCAACAGGAGTTACTGAATGAGCACCAACTACTTTGAGGCACCGTGCAAGGGCTATCTGTATGCATTAACTCCTTTAGTCCTCCCAACCGCTCGAGGATGGGGTCACCATCTTCAGCAAGTCCTCTCTTCAAAAGGTTTCTCTCATCTGAGCCTGTCTTAAGCAGTGGACCCTGGCTGAAGGAGGTCCCTGCACCGGGCAGCGGACAGTCCTTTCCATGCTAGGGGAGGGACCGGCAGCCTCAAGGTAACATTAAGGAGCCTAACCAAGACGCATGTCTCCACCAGGGGTTCCCCTCCACCTGCCTCCCCATGGATATTTCCAAATATCCAGGCCTCTCCTTTAGCAGGGGGCTGGATCTGCACTCCGGGGTACCACAGAATCTCTGCTTGAGATTCTCTCTCTCCCTCTCCTTCTGTCCTTCCCCTACTCGCGTGGGCGCACGAGCTCGCTCTCTCTAATAAATAAATAAAATCTTTAAAAAAAAAAAAATTTACTCTACCAGCTGCAGGTCACCAGGGAAAAAATACCTGAGAATAAAAAATTCTCAGGGCCATGTACTCTGATTATGACTCTAAGACCAGAATTCCAGAAATGATGAAAACTTAAAAGTGCAATGATCAGGGCATGGTCAAGTTCCATAAAGAATAAGCCTCCCGGTGTACAATGGCATTCCTTTCTCCTCCCAGGCTGGGTATTTGAATGTAAACCAACAGAAGCTCCAAGGTTATATCCAGGTTGTAACTACAGCTCATGACCAACACACACGAAACTTACAATTCTTCGGCTTCCAGACATAACAACTTAAGAGCTGTGAGTAACCTCCAAGATGGTCCATCCCATCCAAATGTCAAATTTCTAAAGCATAAAAACAACACACCTGTCATTTCAGTACTTCATGACATCATGGCAAATGACTGAAGAGCTAAACATTTTCTGAAGGGGCTAAACATTATGTAACTTGTGTCTTGGTCACAAAGGCAAAAGAGCAAAGTAAAAAAGAGAAAAGAAAAGCAAATACTTTTTTTTTTTTTAAAGATTTTATTTATTCATTCATTAGAGACAGAGAGAGAGAGGCAGAGGGAGAAGCAGGCTCCCAAGGAGCAGGGAGCCCGA